TTTTCCCCAAACACTTATACATGGGCTTCCTCTGTCCGCCTTTCTCCCACCCTGGAGAAATCAGCAGCTAGCTTTTTTCTTCCCTTTTAAGTAATATGATTTTGTTCCTTGCTGTCCAATAACTTCAATAGCTTGTGTCTTAATATCAAAGAGTCTGATTCAATTCCCCCAGGGAAACGGTATGGCCTTCTAATCCATAGATTTGACACTCTTTCTTTCAGAAAGGTTTTTACAAAATAAACCTGGGTATTTTTTTTTTCTGTCTTTACTCAGACCCCTTAAGTGACACCGTTTATATATATGCTGTGTAACCTTTGCTGTGCTCTGTGTTTTACTGTCGAACGCCCTTGAACTTTTCTTCACTTCCCTCAGGACCCTCACAGTCCAGTGCTCAGGACTATCTTCGTCCCTGGGTTTCATTGTTTTATTTTTCTCTTCCCCTTTTCCTTGGAGTCTTGACCCATCCCTTTTCGTTTCTGTGCACATCCATTTTGGCAGGGCAGGTTTTTAGCTTGCTTTCCTTTCCCCAATGTGTCCAAACTCCCCCTCAAAGGTGGGGAGCTCTTCTTGGAAAGCCAGTCGCAAGGCAGCTGAGGGAAGACCAGGCCAGCGCTCAGGGGTTGGCGGGCTGACAGCGGCCTGGCCTTCCCTGCATCCAGCACAGACTCCGCGGGCCCCAGCCCTGCTGCAGGCTTGCACCGATGGCTGGCCCTGTCTACACCGCTGCTTATTCATCCCGGACACTTCACAGTATCTGCTTACTCCTCACACCTGTCCCAAGCAAGGGGGAACTGGTTTTCTCCTCGACGCTCCATCAGATTGGCCACGGCGGCCATGCTCTCCTTTCTCTTGGTCTTTCTTTCCTCACCCCGGCCTGCTGGACACTTGGCCGCCTTTTCTTGTATATTTGTTTAGGGTTGTAAGGTTTCCTCAGAGATGGAGTTATCGCTCCTTTATGTGCATTTACTTCGCTGTCTTCAGGCAGCTTCAGGAAGAAGGGTCAAGGTCACCTTACAGACAGGTATAAGTGTGTTCAGTTAAGAGAGTAGATTTGTCAAGACACCTGCTTTTTCTGAAGAAAGAATAAAAAGATAATTGCAGCGTTTTCCTGAGGACTGGCTTTCCTTAGAGTCATCTTTAAGTATATCCCTCACAGAGCCAGAGGGGCTGAGTGTGGATGGTGAGGTTGAGGCTGCCCCTGGCCCAGCATCAGCTCATCAGTGGCGTCTCTCGAGTTTTCCTGTGATAACATCTCATCTTCCCGTGGGTGGATCCCTGGATATGCAGGATGCGTTCACTCTCACCTACGCGGAGGTTGATACTAGTTGAGAATCCTTTATGATGATCGTCAAGGCAGAGGGCTCCAGTTAGATTTAAAATTTTGTTGTCAACCCTCTAAAAACTTTGAAATATGTAGCTGCTGCTAAAACATGAGCAGAACATGGAGAGATGAGATGATCCTATTTCATAGCATATCTCGGTTTTCCTCCAGAATCTAGAAGTTGAAAAGAGAGAAATGGGTGGGAGGGGGGTCTGAATTCCTGATTCTGTTTAAAATGAAAATAGGTCTGAGGCACTCGGTGGCTCAGTTGGTTAAGCTCTTGATTTCGCCTCAGGCCATGATCTCACAGTTCATGGGTTCAAGCCCTGTGTCAGGCAAGCTCTGCACTAACAGCAGGGAGCCTGCTTGAGATTCTCTCTCTCCCTTTCTTTCTGCCCCTCCGCTGCTTGCATGCTCGATTGCACTCTCTCTCTCTCTCTCTCTCTCTCTCTCTCTCGCTCGCTCTCTCTCTCTCTCTCTCTCTCTCTCGCTCGCTCTCTCTCTCTCTCTCAAATAAACAAACATTAAAAATTTTTTTAAATAGAATTCTAAAAATGAAATGAAAACAGGTCTGTGGAGTATTTATTGTGAACAACCTGGCCTGGAATCCTTTCTCCATTCCAATGGTTCTTTGTGGCCAGATTGGACTTTTCTGGAAAACCTAGGCTCAGGTAAAGGCAGCTTGAAAAGCAGTGCCCAAAAGGCAGTATGGGAATTCTACCCCTTCCTCCAAAGTCCCAGCCTGTGCAGCTAATGCGTCCCCGCGAATATTGGTGAAATTCTGATCTCTTGAGCAGGGGGGCTGCCTCATCTTCCACTAATTCCACTGTGCCAGTGTGCCAGTTTTGCCCTGGTATGAAGCGGGCATCTCACCTAGACAGCATCTGTGAGTGGGACCGATTTCAGAGCAGACTGTGGGCTTGTGGATCCCAGGGTTTGATCTGCATTTCAATCAACATCTCCACTGTTTGGGCTTTAGTCACTATGGCGACCCTCCAATTTATCCTCTAAACCAGGACATATCTGGGAGTTGTGATTATTAATTAAACAAGGCCATGAATGTAAATTGCGAATGTCCCAAACAAAGCAAGATGAATGGCCCAATTAATTATCCCCTGTTTCCACGATAAATCCAAATGCATTAGGATGCATTATACCACGGATCTCACTTTTTCTCCATCCCTGCAAGAAAAACCTGATGTTATCTTTATTACCAAGACAAGATACTCATTCATTCTTAGCAGCAAAATGAATATCATTTAGTAATGAATCATTTAAACCTCGGAGCCTTTCAGTTTCATAGGTGCATGCATCCATTTGTACATTACACACTAATATCTTGCTCATAGTTTCCTGCCATCTTGAGGGAAATGGGGCTTGTGTTATTCCCATAGTTCATTACCCAAAGTTTGTTGGTCAGATGATGGTACTTTTAGATGGTAAATTTGCTCCATCAGTAATAGCTGTGCTATAGTGGTAGCAGCGGACACATACTCCCTAGACACCGTGCACCAGGACCTGTGCTAATTGCTTTATAGGTAGCATCTCCCAACCCTCACAACAACCTCAGGAGGAAGACACTGTTAGCATCACCTGGCTCCAACTTCGAGAGGCTAAATAGCACCTGTGTTTGCAGAGCCTGGCCAAATATACCAACAGCCTGCCTCCAGTGCTCAAGTTGTTAGGCACATTAGATGGTCTTTATCCCTAGTTGAGGAATTTTCTTTTAATACGAGCTGGTATAGAAATGTCACTTTCACATCTTTCCCTTGGTCACTGGCCCATTGCCCGTTGTTTCAACTTGGCCTATTTTCCCTACCCCTGTGGCTCCACACAGGCTTCTGGGGTTGCTATCTTTGCTTACAAAGATACGCTAAATGGTGGTGATACGTTTGCATTCTCTCAACTGAGCTCTGTGTGCTGAGGAAACGTCATTTTAACGGGATAAGTGCTGTGAGAAATTCAAGTCAGGGGTTTTATTTATTTTTTAATTTTTTTTAATGTTTTATTTATTTTTGAGACAGAGATAGCATGAGTGAGGGAGGGGCAGAGAGAGAGGGAGACACAGAATCCGAAGCAGGATCCAGGCTCTGAGCTGTCAGCACAGAGCCCGACGTGGGGCTCGAACTCACAGACCGTGAGATCATGGCCTGAGCCGAAGTCGGACACTCAACCGGCTGAGCCACCCAGGCGCCCCAAGTCAGGGGTTTTAAAATCATCTGGAGTGGTCTTGGAAGGATGGCACAGGACAGTAGAGCAGATTATCTGCTTATTAGGATGTCCCATCTCCCTTGGGTTCTGGCACCATTTCCTACAGGCTGGGCGTTCATGACCGCTTCTAGTCCACAAGCACCAGAGAAGGTGTCTCGGCACCTATGTCCACCATGGGCCAAGAGGAGGGAACTGTTGACACCTGACTTCCCTCTGCAGGTACCCGTCCCCCCCCTTCCCTCAGGGTAGCCAGGTGAAGGAGCCCTGAAAACCAGTGACTTGTGGTTTTACTATTTGCCTCTCATTATTTCCCTTTGGCATTTTAAAATTTGTGGCATGAGAGAAGGCTATTATGTGATTAATAATTATGTTCTGGGAGCTTCCTAGGCATTATTCTTTTAATTTTTTTTAATGTTTATTTGAGAGACACAGAGTACAAGCAGGGGAGGGGCAGAGAGAGAGGGAGACACAGACTCTGAAGCAGACTCTGGGCTTCAAGCTGTCAGCACAGAGCCCAATATGGGGCTAGATCTCACAAACTGGAAGATCATGACCTGGGTGAAGTCAGACACTTAACTCACTGAGCCACCCAGGTGCCCCACATTATTTTTTTTTTCAGTCTATATAACAATGTTCTCAGATAGGTTTAGAGATGGCAAATGACCTCACAGTCCCAAAGCATCGGCCTTCAAATACAACCCAGAGTAGAGTAACTCCCAAGTTCATGCTCACTCTTCTATTGCTGGCTCCCTCACTGGGCTCTGATCAATGTGACACCTTTCCATTCGCTTCCTTACAGAGTTAGGTACACTCATCCCTCAAAACCTTGTGTCTTAGATTTTCCTTCTCAGCATCCTTTTCCATGTGAGTTTGTGATTCTTTCAACTAAGGATTTTGGTAGAATTTCAGTGCATTTCGCTCAACAGTATGGACCAACATTTCCTATACTGACTCTACGGCGATGCACGAAAATGATCACTTTTGTCGGTGAATTCACCCAGAGGTGAATGAGCTCTGTTATAAGATTCTGGAAAATTTAAATAAATGATGTTAAAGAAGATTTTTCACCCATCTCAGGTTTTAGGCCTTTATAAATCAAAAGGAAGCTTAAAGACACAGGAAAGCTTACATCCTGTGAAGGTGGCGCTGGCCCAGAAATACGGGTATCAACTGTACCCCCAGGGCCTGTGACCGGTATGGCATCCGGGGAGCCCCATCTGAGTGTGCGTAACTATGCGATGCTATTGACAAACCTCTTAAATGCCAGAGGAAATGTTGGCCAGAAGAGTAACACAGGTCAACAACTTGTCTGGGGAGAGAAGGTGGTCAGCAAGCCCGCGTGGCCAAGCGCTGGACCACGGTCTCCCTTCCCACTTCTGAGGGGGCCCCGGCAGCTCCTGAGGTCAGGGTCGTGTCACGGTCTGCGGAGATGGGTGGTCCTACATCACAGCTGTGTGGTTTATTGCAGGGAACCCGTAAGCCAAACCCTCCTCAGAAGCCTCTGCCTGCAGATCCTTTGAGCAAGACAGCCCGTCTCACCTGCACCCCGGCCAGGACCCTGGGGCAGCCGGAGTCCGGGCTCCGCCTGGTGCCGCTCAGGTTGGTGGAACAGCCAGGCCTCTTTCTCCCCAGAACCGTGTGGGGGGCAGCTACCCCCACCGGTCCTTTCCAACCCCCGTCAGGACATGGGGCTGATGGTCTAGGCCAGGCTCCCTCTATCCCCAGTACCTGGGAACAGCATAAAATAGATGTAAATGCAGACAGGAGCATTACCCGGAGGCCATCATGAGCTCATATTCCCAGGATCACCATGGGGCTCTTAGCAAGGGCCCCAGGGGCCCTAAGAGATTAAACCAAGATCAAGTGGAACTAGAAAGGGGCCAGGCCCTGTCCCCCAGAGAGATGAAGATGGATGGATGGCTACCAAGTGGCCTGATCCTGTGAAGGCTGAACATACCTCCAAAATGGTCTTCAGCCTTCACAAACTCTGCCCGGACCCTGGGCTCCTGAGAAAGGAAGGAAGCTTGGAGGGTCCCATACGAGTAAGGAAGGCGTGAGGCGTTAGCTCCTGAAGACCTGGTCCAATGGGGAAGCATCGCCACACGACTAACGACCCCCTAGCTATGGTCCCCACTCACTGTGTCCCAGAGGATGGGAAAGTGGACTCCTGACCCAGGGGAGGTTTGACGGGCTGTGTGCCGGGGCTGACCCACACCGCTTTTCGAGAGCTGTTGAATTTCTAGGAATTCTGGGAGCTGGGGGTTAAACCTAGCCACTCTTTAAATAGCTGTGTATAACTTCTAATGATAGAAGTTATATGAAAACAAATGTAATAAATGCTCCAAAACTTTTTTTACATTTTACCATGATCTATGCTCTGGAGGTTACATGCAGCTATTTCTGGACGGTGGGAACGCCACAGAGGCTGGCTACCAGGGAGCTCCTCCAAGCTCGTGGAAATAGACAAAGGCTACGCATGGGCCACCCCACCCCCACCCCCTTTCCCCGCTGGGGGTAGGTTGGACCCACATCCAAAACACTCTTTGGATGCACACTGCCCGGCCTTGGCAGGAAGCTTGCTACATGAGCTCCAAAGAATCAAAGGTCGTGTGTTGGCCAGGTCCTGGGCTCGATAATTCAGTGTCTGGAAAGGGGAAGACACACGTTCGTGATGTCATTACAGCTTTGGGGAAAAATGTCTGGCCTCTGGGAGAGAGTGCTGCCCAATAAATCCCAGAGATAACTCCGGTCAGAGGGGCAGAGCAGTGGTTTAATTCCCGAGTGCAGAAATTCGGAAAGACTGCAGAACATCCTAGTTATTTCGCTGTGGTTTCTGTGCTCATCTCAAAGTTACTTCTCTTGCTCAAAAGGAAAAAGCACTGCTTTACACGGACACAAGGGGAGGGCCCTCTTTTGAAAGGCTGGTCGTCACCCCTGCCAGTCGCCGAGCCCTGTGCAAGCTGGTGTTGGTCTTGCAGGTGAAGAGTGTGTTGCACATTTGTGTAGGAGGGATCACAGGCACACTGTGGGGGGGGGGGGCAGCACGTGCCCTCCGTGCAGACACACGCAGGACAGGGATGACTTTTCATGTTGAAATACTGCAACTGTGGATGTATGGAGTTAAATGAAATTCGTTACGAGAACTTGTTTTATCTACTTGTTTTATTTAGAGAGAGAGAGACAGCATGAGCAGGGGAGGAGCAGAGTGTGGGAGGAAGAGAGAGAGAGAGAATCCCAAGTCGGCTCCAAGCTGTCAGGACAGAGCCTAAGGCGGAGCTCGAACTCCCAAAACCCTGAGACCGTGACCCAAGCTGAAACCAAGAAAGGGACGCTTAACTGACTGACCACCCAGGCACCCCCTTGTTTCATCTACTTTTTACTTTTTCCATGTGGCTGCTAGAAAGTTTTCCATGACCTACGTGGTTCCTATTTTTCTTGAACGTGCACTGTTCTAGAATCCACTTGCGGAGAGGAGGGAGGGCTGCGGTGAGGGCTCCCCTGGTGGCATTAATCGCCAGTGAGCCGCAGCCCTGAGCAAGGCCCTGGATGGAACCTGCAGCCCTTCTTTCGGGGGGGGGCGGGGGGGGGAAGAGGGGAGAGGGTTCCTGATCCCGCAGGCTCAGCAAAGGCCAGGAAAGACGCCCAACTGCAGGCATCTGGACCCGCAGAAGCCATTTCAGGGCCCCACCTACTATCCTGTTTCCTTTTCTCTTGCTGCAGACCGGCCCCCAAACACCCAGAGCAAGTGCCCAGACCCACCCACCCTGCCTATAAGAAGTGAGAAGCAAATCGACATCTTTTTTTTCAACAGTGAAGACAGAAGTTTGCACTATCTTTCAACTCCAGTGGGGAGTTTTTTTTTTTTTTTGTATCAACTTTTAGAAACTTTTTTAAATGTTTAAAACACCATTATTTTAAGAACTTGGAGCTACTGCCGTCGGTGCTGTGCTGTGCTATGGTGCTCTGTATACTTTTGCTCAGGTACTTGTAAATTATTAATTTATGCCAAATGCTTGTTACAGTGCAGTGCGCTGTGGGAGGCATTTTTTTTTTTTTTTTTTTTTTTTTTACCATCACTGAGTTTTCCATGGAAGGAAGGCCTGTGTGCTTTCAATAGTTTAGTGAACTTGAAATATCATGCTTTATGGGATTCTGGACAGGAGGTTTACTTTCCAGTTGAGGCTTTCTTGAAGAAAGGCGCCCCCAGGTAGAAGGCTGAGTGATTTTTCTGGAGCCTCTGATCTCCAGCGAGAGCCAGGGGCTTCAAGTCCAGGATGGGTGTGGCTTTCAGCTTGGCCCAGCCCATCAGCAGCTACACCTTGAACTTCAAGGAGAGCAGGGAAGGATCTGGCTTCTGGCCCAGAAGCTTTGAAGAGAACCTGAGTTGCAGAAAGGAATTTTAAGGTGTGGCCGCACCAGGACAGACTGGAACACAGGAGGCCAGGCAGAAACTTGACCTTGAGCTCACCAGCCATGAGCACATTTGGAGAGCAGGCAAAGAGGGTTGCTTTACAGAAACGCTGCCCTTCGCACAGCGCTGGTCTCAGCTCCTTATCTAGAGGGGAAGGCTGGCGTTTCTAGCAGGTGGCCACTGGCCAGGCTCTGCAAACCTCCGTCTCCCCGTGCTGTTTGGAGCAAAGCAAATTACCACCCTGTCTTTTCAACCATACGACAGTGATTCTGTGTTCAGACGGATAGATGGGGCCTTTTAGGAGACCATAACTCTTTTCAGATGTGAACCAGTAACAAGATCTGGCAAATCAATTCTGTAGATAAAAATCTTTTATTGCAAGGTTCAAACTTATTAAAAATTAGGCAGACTCCGTATGCTTGCAAAAACTACAATGCAACAGAATGCCACGGGGCAGGCCGCCTCTGCCCTCCGTCCATCTGGGACAAAGAATCATAAGTTAACTCGTAAGTTATTTGGGGGGCATTCTATTTTCCCAGCTTGGCCGCAGGAATCTGGAAAAGATATTTGTAGCACAGACATTTGCAACCTACCTGTTGATCACACAGAATGTGATGAGGAAATCCATTTCCTAATCCTAAATCTTCGTGACCTGCATTCTCGGGCAGCAACCCCTTTAGCCTCTTACTCTTCACATGTCCGACTGGGGAGCCATTTCTTCACAAGGAGATCTTGAAGCTGCCTGTATTCTAATGGCATGCACATTATAAAAATGCTCAGACAAGATAAAATGCCATTGTGCCTCTGTCTTCCAGCAGAGTTGTAGGTGACTCGTTTTCACACTGGAAGGCAATGGACAGCAGCTCTGTACTTCACTCCGACTGTTTTGTGACAAAGACTTCAGCTGGGGTCCTTTCAACGGTTTTTCCAGGCCTTGAAGCAGCGAGACCAAATACCCCCAGACTTGGTTTGCCTTCCAGAAAACAAGACTGCATTGAACTCTCCCCGTGTTCCCCACCGTATCTAGGCAACGTAGTAATCATGATCACGGATAAACTACATAAACCCGCATCACAAACACACAAGAGGGATCCCAGCTCTAATACATTCCAGCTCCCATGCCATACAGTTATTAATTTCTGAAAAAGGTAAAGCCATGTTAGAAAATATTACTGCTGATGACCTGCGGAATTACTGTAACTCACACTGCATCGAGTAAGGGTATCAAGGCCAAAACATATGCCATTGAAAAGTTTACAGAATTTGGATGGTGCGTTATGTGGGTACTGTCTTTACAGATGCCCATATCCTTAGATCTGTCCTTTTAGCGCCTCTTCCTATTGTGAGGAAGAGAGTATGAAGTTTTTTTTTTTTTTCTTTTCCTTTCTTGTCCTTACCTGTAATTCCTATGCTTCCATTTCAGAGAACCAGGAATAGCTTGGTATTAAGAAGGGTTAATACTGTGATCTGATACCATGTCATCGACAGCCACTTAGGGGCTGTGATGACACAGTCATATCTCTGCAGTACTAATTGCTTTTACAGAGCCATACAAGCTATTTCTGAAGAAGAACACGTTGAAACCGAACATTCCCTTACAATATATGTTGTTATTATAGGAACAGTATTTCCAAGATGCAGACTTCTATTTAGCAAGAACTTCCATTTTAATAGAGCTTAGGAAAAGAACCAAGAGCCAGGTATTTTTGGGGTGGGGGGTGGGGGAGAGATGTACCTCCCCCATTTTTATATCCTTATAGATGGAAACAAAAATCAATACTTCTATCTCCATGCCAGTCTATTTTTTTAGCGTTTTTAAAAAAGTTTTATAGACTTGAATAAGAGTTGATTTGAGTTTATATGGCTGTCACCGAGGAAATTCAAAGTGTCTAGACACAAAGTTGGCCCTGAGGGTGGTCACTTTTCTCCCCTGTCTCATTAGACTTGCTGTTAATATGACCCCACTAACTGGGAAATAGCGAGCTAATCTTCCAGGCATTCTGTTTAAGAGTTTATCTCCTGAGGTTTTTTTTTTTTCTTTTTGCAAGTTTGTTTTTCTGACACATGGACTCAGATGGGTAGCAACCAAGAGAAACAATGCATAACATTTTCCATTGTCAAAATACGCATACAGAGGTGCTCCTTCCCAGTGTGAATTTTTCCGGCTTACACATGTGGATGACCTCACAGAAACCACAAGAGCAGCAAATTAAACTACATGAGAACGAATACTCCTGCCTAGTCTCTGAGGGGACATTTTTATGCCTTCTTAACTTTATTACGAACTCTCAGGCTTGAGCCCACAGGCCCTTATTCGCTGGCAAATCAATACAACACATCAGTGCGTCCCCTAAGCGAAAAGCAGCGAATGCCCTGATCGGTGTCAAACTGCTCGTAGGGGCTCGTGATCTCCCCTGGTGCTGAGCCAGCTGAGAGGGCCCCAGCCCCCTCCTCTGTTCATGTTTACTAAAGCATTCTGAGCCAAGGAGACCCTGACACCGAAAGGGTGAGACGCCTGGGCAGCTGGGCCACAGCCTTCTCCTGCGAGCTGACCCCTAGGGCAGTCTTTCCTCGTGAGGCTGATTTCATTTAAACCTCGTGCTGGGGAGCACTCCCTCTACAGTGCTCTGGGAGCAGGGAGCCCAGGGCAGACTGGCTGGGGAGACCTTTCCTCACTAGCTGGGGTCCTACCGATAAAAACCCCCAAGGAACCCAGATAAATGTCATAGCGCCTCCCCCCGGAAGGCTCACGCTGCCAGGGCTGACCCCTCAGTGTGACTCGCTGCAGATGTCGTGCACTGTGGCTGGCGGGCGGGGGAGAGTGCAGGTGCCGCGGTTTTGTGTCCCCCTGCCCCCCACCACAAGGCTGGCCCGAGGCTGCCCCATTGATTCCCCCACGACTCCGGCGCAGGCGCATAAGCACATCTGGACACAAGGCAGAGGAGGCCAATGCCTCTATTTGCTTCTCATCACTTAGATGCAAGTCCCTTTGCCAGATCCCCTTCAAGGTACCAGATCATTGTGTTCCTAGCTCCTTTAGGTCACCCGAAGCGGGGGGCTGTGACAGTGTGCTGTGCCCCCGCGAGCCCAGCCTGCTCTGGCAGCATGCAGTGAGCCTACTAGCCACGCCCCAGCCTTGAATCCGGCAAGAGCCCCTCCTACAGGCAACATCACCCCGCAGAAAACCCGATTATCCCGGATGGCCCAGGTCCCTTGATCCCCTCTAGTTCCTCCTGACGTCTGTCCCTTTAAAACCTCTTTTGGAATCTCCGATCGCGATACAAGTAACATGAAGATTTGTAAGCCCTAGGCTAAGAACCAGTTCTGTGCAGTGAAGATGCTTCCAGAAGCCATCTCCTTCCAGGTGGATGAAACCCCCCTTTACTCTCGGGACAGCGGTGGCAGCCGACCGTCCAGCCCTCAGAGCCTGTCTCGTGTGAGCAAAGACTAGGAGAACACACACTGCATGTAAAGCCACGATCACGTTCGACCACGGGCAGGGACAGCGGCCCACGGGCCACACCCTCAAAGGAATGCTCAGGGGGAACTGGCTCTTCCGGGTTGAATATTCTGGAGCCCACCCTGATCTTCCACGTCATCTGCAAAAAAAACATGTCTTCCGTGCCCCCTCCCCCTCCATCGTGAGTCTCCTGCCATAAAAGAATTTAGTCCTCAGTTGAAGCATAGCTTAAATCCAGACAAAGTAATAAACACCTTGTGATCTTCTTAGTTTTTCAAGGAGCTAGAAGGACATCTCTGTTCATGGCCTATCAGCAAGTACTTAAGTAGGGCAGTGATAGAAAAAAATATATATATCAAATTAGAAAGACAGAACACCCTCTACCAGCCCCACCAGTAAGTGATGGCAGAGCACATCGGTCTCGGACCTTCTCTCAGGCCAGATTGGGCGGCTGTGGGGAAGGCCCGTGGCACACCGTTATGTCCAACTCTAACTCTTGCCTATAGGCTGTTCAGCACAGTACAAAGTTACAGCTTCTAAACAAACCAGTCCGTTGACTTCATACTGCTTCATCCATTTATAATGCTACAGTTTGCTAACTTTTGTCACGTACCTTTTATGTTACAGTCTGTTACTTCTGTACACATTTCTCATATTGGGGTCTACAGGTGACAACCTGCTACTTCCGTAGAAAAAGTCCTTGTTAAGAATATTATATCCAATAAATGGTATACAGGTAAACGTAAAGACGTGTCTCTTTCATTACTGACAACGTTACAAAAATGGGGAAAGGGAAACCCTCGGGTGGAAAAACGTGTCTAGAGGCACCTGCATGGCTTCAATGGCGGAGCATCCAGCTTCACAGCGGGCCCTGATCTCAAGGTTCGTGAGTTCGAGCCCCACATTGGGCTCACTGCTGTCCGTGTGAAGCCCATTCAGATCCTCTGTCTCTCTCTCTGTCTCTCCCCTTCCCCTGCTCATGCTCTCTCTCAAAAATTAAGTTTAAATGTTTTACAAATGTATCTATAACCTCACCTATTTATAGAGGAGCAAGGAAATTCTTGAACAGTACAGAAGACACTAAAGAGAATGGGCAGGGGGATGGGCAGTCAGGGACAGGTGCCAGTCTAAACGAACCAGTCAGGTAATGGCACAAGAAAGGTATCTTTAAATTTATTTATTTTTTTTAACTTTTTTAGTGTTTATTATTGAGAGACTGAGCGCGAGCATGGGAGAGGCAGAGAGAGGGGGAGACAGAATTGGAAGCAGGCTCCAGGCTCTGAGCTGTCAGCGCACCTTTCACCTTTCACCCACGTCAAAGCAAGCAGGCAAAAAATAAATACCTAGAAGACCTAAGTTAATGTCATCAAATTGATACATTCAAATTGGGATACTTCAAACACACAGAATATGCCCTCTTTCAAAGCACCTCTGAAAAACTAGATACACAGAACTATATATAAAACCATTACATATTACATATTACGTTATATATATTAAATTATATATTTATATAATTTTGTACATTCAGCCACAAAAATTCCAAATGGCGGAACATGAACCATGTGTTGTTTCTTTGGGAAAATTAAAACACAAGATAAATCACTAATCTCGTGAAGGACAAAAGAGAAGCAGCAAACACACAAAGCACCAGCAAGTCGAATCCAACAGTCCACTGCATCCCAGTGAGATTATCTGACAAATAGAAGGATGGTTCAGTCCTTTAAAATCTAATCAGCCACGTCACCAAACCGATAGACTTTAGGGAAATACGCCGTATTCGGGCTACCAGAGACGCTGAAAAAATGTTTGATAAAATTTACTATCTATTCCTGAATTTTTAAGACTCTGAATGAGGCTGGAAACCATAGGACTTGAGAGATACAAATGTCCTCTGTGGAAAATTAAACTCACAAGTGTATGGCAGGACCCTGGGAGCTGTCATTTTGGGCTAAGTTACACCAGGATAAGGCGCCACTCATCAGTTTCGGCACCTTACACCCCAAAGGTGTGTGTATTACTTATTATTATTGCTTACTCACGGGTCACGTCCACCTCTGGGTGAGCTCTGGCTCTTCCTCGGGGCCCTGGGCTGGTGGCATAGCCTCCATCTGAGTCACAGCTGGTCTCCTAGCAGAAGAGAGATGCAGGGATTCTTCAAACTTCTGCTCGGAGGGGCAGGAGCCATTTCCAGTAACATTTCATTGACCAGAGTCCCCCCCCATCATGTGACCAAGGCTTCTGTCAGGAGATGGGACGATGTTGCCAAGATTTTGTCAAGAAGAAGGGATGTGTACCCTTGCCATGGAGGGGGCTTGTGAACATGATCTATGACAGGCTGAGAAACGAAATTAAGACAAACGTCAACATTGATCCTGGGGTGGGGGCGGGGGTACGCAGGGCCCTGGAGAGTTGTGACTTTGTGCTCTGATTTTTGAGAGAGACTTAAAAAGTTAATCCCGGGGCGCCTGGGTGGCTCAGTAGGTTGAGCATCTGACTCCGAATTTTGGCTCAAATCATGATCCCAGGGTCGTGGGATTGAGCCCCTCCTCAGGCCCTGCGCTGAGCATGGAGCCCGCGTGAGATTCTCCCTCTCCCTCTTCCCCCAGCTCACAATTTCTCTTAAAAGTAAATAAATAATATAAAAAGTTAACCTAGCAAATTTAAAGGAAGATGCTTTTGTACAAAAGGTAGAACACTAATGAAATATGTAAGGAGAGGGACGATCTATGACCCACAAATCCGATTCCTGAGGTGGATATTCTAGAAACTGTATGGAATAAAGCTGAGAGTTGCCAGCATCAATAAAATCACATTTTTTCCCTATGCCTGTCCCCCAAAGCTTTGGAGCTTTAATTATCTTTTCATCAGTGTTTTCCTACAGAGAAGATTCCACTCCCGTGCAGACCTTCGTAGCTGGCCTTCCCCCGGGGCTGAGCTAACCAGCTCGTCCCTGGAGACACAAGATGCGTGTGGTCCGCTAACCTACTCGGCTCGTGTTCTCGTGTGTCTGTCAAGTTCACGCTCTCACACATGTGTGCCTAAGCTCCCACCCGGCAGACCTAACTGTGGCTAATCTCCCAACTGCGTGATCGGCATCATCAAAAACCCTTCTGGGGGCACCTGGGTGGCTCAGTTGGTTAAACGTCCAACTTCGGCTCAGGTCACGATCTCTCGGTTTGTGGGTTTGAGCCCCGCATCGGGCTGTGTGCTGACCGCTCAGAGCCTGGAGCCTGCTTCCAATTCTGTGTCTCCCTCTCTCTCTCTCTGCCCCCTCCTCTGCTCACACTGTGCCTCTCTCTCTCGATAATGAATAAATGTTAAAAAAAAATAAAAAAATTAAAAAACCCTTCTGCTCTGAAGGCTGAATTTAATACACTTCTCTTCGGCAAAGCCGCCCATGGGGCAGCAGGCGCGGCCTTTCACCGTCAGGGCAGAAGCACGTGGAAAGGCGTTCTCAGGTCTGTTCTAGAGAAGACTGACCCTCCACCAGGCACCTCTAGGAGAGCAGAATCGGAGTCCTGAAATATGTATTTGGTGCTTTGATGTGAGGCCAACAGCCGAGGAGGAAACTTTCCACGTGGCCTCCTGGGCTTGGGGAGGAGTGTCCCTCCCCCGGGAGGGAGCCCCGGCCCGATGACACAGCCTGGAAGGCCCAGAGCCGGGAGGGGAGGTCGTAATTGAAAACACGTGAGGGGAAGGGTTTCCTCCCACGAGGTCCCGGAGTGGCTCAGAGGACAGCCTGGGGTGGGGGTGAGGGTGGGGGTGCAGCAGCGGGAAGTGGGAGACCCGCGTGTGTTTGCGCAGCTCCGGTACATAAATATTTTGCTTCGTGTCTGACTCCGAAAGGCCCAAGTGCGAGGAAACACCCCATGCTGGAGGCGCCCAGTGAGGACAGCACAGGCACGAGCTTAGGTAAAAGATGTATTTCCAAGTGGGAAACGGCTGTACATTACAAAAGTCACCGCGAATCTTCAACTAAATAAATAAGCACACACATCGCCTCCAACACGCAGAACCTCCTCGCTGGCGCTGCAGTCACGGGGCAGGCGTTTCGCTGGGGCTTGCGACGAAGTGGGGTCGCCGCTCAGCAGACGGAGGACTTCTTCACCGCGCGCTTTTTGTTCCTTTCTTCCAGCAAGGAGACCACGTTCTAGGTAAACAAAAACAGGTGAAGGGAACCCAAGGGGCTGGGGTTCGTTTCTGTGAAAAGTACCGCAAAATTCGCCTTGAAAAGCATCAAGAACATTCCAACCTGTCTGTCAAAAACTCTGGCCATTTCTAGGACACCTTTGCCGAACTGAAAGTGAAAACAACAGAGGTTACCCGTGTGTACATATATCTGTATGTACATATAGGGATATACGTATATATTTCTCCTCCAGGGAGAGACTTTAGATAAAGATGGGGTTATTTACCTCGTTTCTTACACCTGCATCTGCCCCTTTGTCAAGAAGTAACTGGACTAACTCCTCGTGATTATTCAACACGGCCACCTAGGAAACAAGACAGCGGGTGTGAGAGTCCACCCTCCCCGCGGAGGACGCCGCCGGTGGTCAGGGTGGACCCCATGCAGGCGGGCGGGGAAATCAGCTGGTGGCTTTCTCAAGAAGGCAGAGCCAGCCGGGGCCACCATGGCTTTGCAGGAAAGCTGAGTGCAAGGAACATGGAAAGAGTCTGCCTCCCTCCGCACTAAGACGACATGAGAACTTCTAGACAGGAAGTTCCAGTACCGGAAATAGCACGTTCGTTGTTTTCACAGATATGTTAGGACACTGCAAAGGTCCTGGGGACTGGGGGCCGGTAATCCTTAAAGAAAGAGGTGTAAAAAGACAACAAAAATATCATAGGGACATTGTCATGCCTCTATTAACAGGCCAGGGGGGAATACATACAGGCAGCCAAGACCCAGGGCTCACCTACAGTTGAATTCACAAGAATTGCCTAATTATAGAAGCAACTCTGACCTTCACGGCACACACGAAGGCAGGCTCTTTCTGAAGAGTGGCGTACCATTAGAGGCGTCTTTCCATCTTTATCCTTCATGTTCACATCCGCTCCCGCTTCGATCAGCAGCGAGGCTACCCTCTGGTTTCCTGAGACTGCAGACACCCTCATGAGCGGGGTCCATCCTGAGCCCGTGTCCGCAACGTCTACCTTCATGACAGAGGAAGAGCTGCTCTTAGTCCAGTCTCTTTTCCCTAAACGTAGTCATCAGAAACTTACAAAGGAACCTCGACTTGCCCAAATCCCCCTGGTGAGGACGGAGACCTGGGGAGGATCGAGGGGACCATGCTCACAGAACTCACACCCACATGCAGCGAGATGCCGTGTTCAGGCAACTGTACAGGGTTGTGGAGAGGCCCCGGGACACCCCACTGGCATCGTCATCTACATTTTGTTCAAATGGTTGAAAAATGGGGCACCTGGGTGGCTCAGTCAGTTAAGAGTCAGACTTTGGCTCAGGCCATGACCCTGTGAGTTTGAGTCTCACATGGGGCTCTGTGCAGACAGCTCAGAGCCTGGAGCCTGCTTCGGATTCTGTGGTTCCTTCTCTCTCTGAACCACCACCCCTTCCACCCCTGCTCTCATTCGGTCTCTCTCTCAAAAATAAACATTAAAGGGGCACTTGGGTGGCTCAGTCGATTAAGCGTCCAGCTTCAGCTCAGGTCATGATCTCGCAGTCTGTGGGTTCGAGCCCCATGTCAGGCTCTGTGCTGACAGCCCGAGCCTGCTTCGAATTCTGTGTCTCCCTCTCTCTCTGCCCCTCCCCCCCTTCTCTCTCAAAACTAAACATTAAAAAAAGTTTTTAAACATTAAATATATATATATGTGTGTGTGCACATGTCTGTGTTACAGAAGAATGACACAAAGATGTTAGGAAAACACTAGAATGCAAAAACAGACCCGGAACTGCCAGCAAGTCCTTGGAACACTACAGGTTATTTATATGTATGAGATTATCCACTGCAACATCATTAGGATTTGCAGCTCCTTCTCATGCAAATAACAAATAACCTTTGAGCAACAGACTCCATTATGTTTAAATAATAAAATAATCGCCTTGTTTTACACTGTGCTTTATATGCTCTTCCATATTTCTCTCTTGGTCTGAGGGTTAACTAGGGGTAGGTGTTTTGATTGCTGGTTTACAAATGACTTAACCAAATCTCAGAGAAGTCAAACGACTTTCCAGAGGTCACACGGCTCATTAAATGCAGAGATGGTTCCCCACACAAGTCAGTCACTGTCAGTATAAAATCATTATATTCGAGAAGGGTGGCCCCAATGTCCTGCTTTGGCGCCCAGATCCTTCCTATAGTCAGTCACCCAAACATTGGGTGACCCCTCTGCCAAAAACATGGAGGCCCTTGTGTTGACATCATCCACCCACCACCAGCCAGCCACGCAGAATCTTCATGGACATGTTCCTGTAACTCCGGTGCTACAGAAAGAGAATTTACCCACGAATGGGTGTGTTGGTATCTGAAGCCCAGAAAGTCTAAGTTTCCAAAACTATAGTATTGAAATGTTCATGGCAGAGACATTCCCTTCTTTCGCCAAAGGGCAACTTCCATTTTTAACTACAGACTTTTACTGGGACCAAAGTATGAGCGGAGTTCATCACAAACTAAGTGAGGAAACTGAGGCTCTCGCTACCACCCAAGGCAGGTGGGACCCGGCCCTACCACCAAGGTCCCAGGGCTAATCCTTCTGGCCTCTTGTGCAGGTTTCTAAAACAAAGAAACCAAGAAATGTAACACAAAGGAATTATCTTAACGAGTGAGGTTTTTCCTTCAAAGGGCCCCTTCCTCAAGCCTCTGAAGGCATCAGTAGGAGCCAGTGACAGCCCACAATTGGGCCTTGACTTCCCTCAAACGCACTTGAGAGACGAGCTAGAACAAATCTGCCAACATCTTCCAGGAGACGTGACTTTTCCCAGTTTGGGTTTATTTTCCAGGTCAGTGGTTTGATTTCTCAGTGCTCTCCACCATCTGGCCATCTCAGTGAGGACAGCAGTCTGTTTGCCATGATTCCTTACTTCCAGGCCTTGAAATTTTTATTTAACTTCTTTCGAGTCTGGCACTAAAGTTCTCAAAGTTATCAGCAATTACCATGATTGAGCTAATCCTTTCTACTGATCTTCAAACAGCTACAGAAGTGCAAACAATGTGGATTCTATTTGTTAAATCAAATTTGTACTTTCTGATAACGTGAAAGTACCAGAAGGAAACCCACACGCCCTCTTCAAGGTAAAAGCGCCAGGAGCTGAAACGCTCTGTGTGTGACATGGTCCGTTTGCTCCTTGGAGGGGTTCTGTAAGGACGAATCTTTAAAGCAATGCAAGAATAAAAATAGTCTAATTCTAAGGGCAATAAGGATCCCTGTGGCTGTGAGAGTTCTTGACATCTTGTGTCTACAGCACCTAAGAGAGTCCCCAGTACATGGCAGGTGCTCAGTAAAGCTTTGCTGACAGGCTGAATGAATGAACAAAGGAACAAAGTAGAAGCATCATCAGGTCCAGCTCAGGATTCAGCAGTTTTGTTTGTTTTTCCTACACAAGACAGTAGGAAAAACAAACAAAACTGCTGAATCCTGAGCTGGACCTGATGATGCTTCTACACAAGACAAACCTCCGTGACAGTCTGAAGCCCCACTCTCCTATCAATTATATAATGATCTCTTTTCCGGAAACTTCTGGAACTTTCTTACTGAGAATTCAGAGAGCTTTCTGCAGCATTTCTAAGTTGAACTCATCATACGCATCCACACAAGGCTCTGCTTCTCCTAAACCCCGTGGAACAGCATTGCAAGGTTTCAAGGACACAGGGGTAGTTGACAAGAACCCGTACCTCACAGCCGTCTTTTATCATCCACTCGATGACGTTGCAGTGGCCTCCATCCGCAGCCCAATGCAGAGCCGTACAGCCTCCTAGGTCTCTGGTCTCCCAAGAAGCGCCGTGTCTTCGGAGATATTTCACCACATCGAGGTGCCCCGCATAGCACGCGAGCATCAGGCTGTAACATATGGAAGAAGCAGCATTTGCTCTAAGTGCAGTTGCCAGACTTGGGTCCACATTTCACCCTCCGTGGCTTAAAGCAAGAAATCCCAGAGTGAGTGAAAAATCCATGAAGGGGATTCATATGAAATGTTGTGTCCATCAACTGATGAATGGGTAAACAAAGTGTGGCATATCTGTACAATGGAATATTGTCTGTCCGTGAAAAGGAAAATAGTGATGTACGAGCCACAATACAAATAAGCCTTAGGACATTCCACTAAAGAAGTTGGACACAAAAGGTGTATTTTATGATTCCGTTTATGTGAAATGCCCAGAACAGGCAAATCCATAGGGATAGAACTGGTACATTAGCTGTTTCCAGGAGCTAGGGGAGAAGAAATGCGGACAGACTGCCAATGAGTAGAGGGCTTCTTTCTGGGCTGATTAACAATGTTCTGGAATCAGACAGTAGTGGTGGTTGTACAGCTTTGCTAATACATTCTTTAAGTACCAAATATTAAAGAAGTGTGTGAATTATATTGCAATTTAAAAAATAACTCAGTAAGACATTGCCTTTAAAAACATCTACAAATCGGGGCACCTGGGTGGCTTAGTCGGTTAAGCGTCCGACTTTCGCTTAGGTAATGATCTCGCGGTTCGTGGGTTCGAGCCCCGCGTCGGGCTCTGTGCTGACTGCCAGCTCAGAGCCTGGAGCCTGTTTCAGTCTGTGACTCCCTCTCTCTCTGACCCTCCCCTGCTCACGCTCTCTCTCTCTCTCCTAGAAATAAATAAAAACATTAAAAAAATTAAAAAAAAAATCTACAAATCCATGAAGATATTCAAAAAAAGATAGAAGGGAGAAAATACTCATTTGACGTTATTACTGATGACTATTTGACCAATTCCCTACTCTAAACATTGGTATTTAAAGAAAATAATTAAGTATTTACTCTGCCTTTATAGAATAAAATGTAGTCTATCTGTAGTTGATGAGGGAAGGCCCTTTTTCATAGCAGCCTACCAGCTAATCAATATGGAAGGAATTATGGAATTAGAAAATCACGTTTTTGCAACTCCCAATCAAATAATTGATTCAGGCAAGGACCGTAAGTGGGTGCAAAAATTATTGGGTAAAAGGTGAAGGGAAAACAGGACACTCACACCATACTAAATGATTGCCCCATAGACTATTAGCTAGTTTCAGTGGGAAAGTACATCTTTACAAAGAAGAGATTTAGCTGTTGCACTCTAACCAAATGATCAAACCTAGAATCACCAACTGTGGGCCAACATGCATTCCTGATGGATACTCACAACACTAGCTCTGAAAGTTAACCTGCATCTCATCCAGCCTTTAAACCGAATTTTAACTTTATTGGCAATAAAGGGACAAATGAACAAGTTAAACCCTCTCCCCACAAGTAGGAGACAACTAGGCAACTCAAGAACATAGAGCATTCTATAGGATAATTGGTCTGGTCTCCTCAAAAAGTCACTGCTAGGAGAAAAAAAAAATTAAACCAAAAAAATGGATGGAGGGCCAGTCTAGAATAAAAGAGGCTAAGCAGATACAACAACTGGATGCAATGTATGAATCTGAGTTGAATCATGGTCTTTCCCCACAGCCCCCTCCCCAATAAAGCCACAAGGACCTTTTGGCGGGCAAGTGGGGAGACCTGAATGAGTGATGGGAGCATCAGTAACATCAAGGAATTAGGTGTGATGACGACATGGTGGTTATGCACATCGATGTCCCAGAGCAGAAGGTGATGGTGCCTACCAGCCTCGCCATAGTTAAATGGGATAAAAAGCCAATAAAAAATGTAGACAGAGAAGCAAATATGGCAAAGTTTCAACAACTGCCAAACCTAAGTGGTGAGTATTTATCGTACTGTTCTTGTAATTTCTCTAAACGTTTGAACTTTTCAAAATAAAGAGTTGAGTGGGGGCGAGGAGGAAGGTCTTCCCAACTGGGAAATTCTACAAAGTCTCTTAGTGATTAAGAGAATGTCCAGCTCTGAGACCCAAGCCCAGGCTGGGCTGGAATGGAACCAGAGGCCCATGCTTCTGTATCCTTATGCAGGCCTTCACTTCCTGAAGACTCCTGGAAGAGAGCAAGCGGGTCCTTGACCTGTCCAAGGTGTGAGGTGCTTGCTGCCCGCGCAGAGTGCCAAGTGCTTGATGCAGATGTTTAAGGCTCCCTTCCAGAGAGACTGCATCAATTTACACTTTTATCAATTGCATCCAAGTAAAATGAGTCCCTTTTATTCACCTATACCAGCACTACTATCATTTTTTTTAATGTTTTATTTTTTGAGAGACAGAGAGAGAGGGAAAGTGCACACACCCATCAACAGGGGAGGGGCAGAGAGAGAGAGGGGGACAGAGGATCCAAAGCAGGCTCTGCACTGACAGGCCAACAGCAGTGAGCCCACTGTGGGGCTTGAACCCACGAACCACCGCGGGGGGGCAGGGCAGAGAGGAGACACAGAATCCATAGCAGGATCCAGGCTCTGAGCTGTGAGCACAGAGCTCAACACGGAGCTTGAACCCACAAACTGTGAGATCACGACCTGAGCCGAAGTCGGACGCTTAACCAACCAAGCCACCCGGGCACCCCTTTACATTTAATTCCTAATTCATCTGGAATTTATTTTGGTGCATGGCTATATAAGGCCAGAATTTAATTTTTCTTCAAATAGCCTTTCTTCCTAACATGTTCCTCATTAGTCTGTGCTGCTCCCATCATCATAACTAACTTCTTATGTCCATGGGGACCTATTTCTACTTCACTCTATAGATCTTTATTTCTAATGATTTATGCCAGTATCATACTACGTTAATTACTATAACTCTATAAGGCATTTTATTTCTTTTTTTTTATTTATTTCTAGGAGAGAGAGAGATAGCGTGAGCAGGGGAGGGTCAGAGAGAGAGGGAGTCACAGACTGAAACAGGCTCCAGGCTCTGAGCTGGCAGTCAGCACAGAGCCCGACGCGGGGCTCGAACCCACGAACCGCGAGATCATGACCCAAGCGAAAGTCGGACGCTTAACCAACTAAGCCACCCAGGCGCCCCACTATAAGGCATTTTAATAACTATCAAAAGTCTTTCCACACTTCTCTTCAGCAAAGTTAATGGCCGTTGTCATCCATTTGTTCTTCCAAGTGAATTACAAAATCATTTTGATGGGCTCCCAAGAATAATTCCTTTTAAGAGTATACTGGGTCCATATATTGATCCGGGAAAAACTGAAAAGTTTACAGTATTCAATCTTGCCATTCTAGCATAAGGACTAGGTCCCTATTCTCTAAACCTTTAGCTCCCTCAGTAATTTTTATAGTCTTTTAATACAAATTTCTCACTTTCCTTCGATATTTTTTATTCTATTTTGCTTCCCTCATTATGTTTATTAACTTGTTATTGTCTTATATGTCTTAACTGTTAATTAAGACAATTTTTCCTTTTTTTGTATATTCCTGAACCTTCTTATTAAGTCCAAGTGTTGGAAAGTTGATTCTCTTGGGTACTGCAAGAAAGGTGCAGGATTCTTATTCCATTTCATATCTCACCGGGTTGATCAGTGTTCCGAAATACCGATCATGAAATAGTAACATGTAACTTGTAGTTACCAGATGCCAGCCACCATTTTATGCATTTTTATATATTAACTTGTTAAGGGTTCACAATTCTCTAAGTACTTCCATTATCCCTATCTTGTAGATGGGGAAATTGAGGTACAAAGAGATTAAGTAACCCGTTCAAAGTCATACACCCTGACCATAGAGGATTTGGATTGACATCAAGTTGTCTGGCTCTTACGCACTCTCGTGGGCTTCACTACTAATTTTTTAAATGTTTATTTATTTTTTAGATAGAGAGAGAGAGCAAGAGCACAAACAGGCGGAGGGGCAGGGAGAGGGAGACACAGAATCTGAAGCAGGATCCAGGCTCCGAGCCGTCAGGATAGAGCCCGATGTGGTTGGTTTTGGTGATGTAAATTTTCTCAAAAAAAGTACCACTGAAAAGATAATTTCAATGAAATTTTCAAGTCTGCTACCATAGACACAAGTGCACCATTTTCTTTTTCACATTGAGATTTCCTCTATTGCCACTATTATGTACCCTTCCAAAATTCTTTTTATTCTTCTTCAATTTCCAGAAGATATTCTCTATAACTACGGCTCCATACCATTTCAAAATTCTGATTTTTCTTAGATTTATAATAAATTGGTCCATTTTATTGCGTAAGTTTTTTTAAAGCAGCAGCTTACATTTTTTGCTCGTATATTATTCAACAATCTATTTTCTATTTTTATTTTTTAAAGAGAAAGTGCGAGCTGGGGAGGGGCAGAGAAAGAGAGAGAAAGAGAATCTTAGGCAGGCTCTACACTCAGCACAGACCCCGATACAGGGCTCAATCTCACGACCCTGGGATCAAGAACTGAGTCAAAACCAAGAGTTGAACACTCAACTGACTGAGACACCCAGGTGCCCCCAAAATCCTTCAGTTTTCTAGTCAACTTCTACTTCTCCTTCCTCTTTCCGACCTCTCAAGGTCTTTATCTTTTTAAGTTGGTATTATTCTTTTTCAAATTTCTTGAGTTGATGGCTTAATTCCAGATTAATCCAAGAGGTATTGAGAAAACTACTTTTTAAATTTTTAAGGGATTTTTTAAAGCGTTGTTTAAAATCTATTACTGTGTGTGTTCAGAGAGTGTAGTGAGTAGGCTTTCTGAGCTCAGGAATTGATGTTTTTCCCTTGTGGCCCAGCGAAGGCAAGCAGTGTTTTGCAGCCACCCTCAGACATTAGCCTGCAGGGCACACACCTTTGAGCCGCATGCCTGATGTGACTCTAAGCTCCCGGAGCAAAGCCCTTGCAATTTCAGTGCTGTTCTACCCGAGCACGGAGCACAGAGCCTGGCAGGCGGTAGCCATTCAACAAATACTGGTTGCTTAGAATTAATCAGTTAATTAAACCTAATTGCTAGAACAGTGATTATTTTTAAGTCTTTGTAGAAGATTCTTTCATCTCACTAAATATAGGTTTCCAACTAGCAGCCTCTTTCCGTAAACTGCTCCCGCACTGCACTCAGCACTTTTACCGCACCAGGTTCTCGGGGTTGTATGTTTGATGGTGGCTGCTGTGTGCTTTGCTGGGAACAACTAAGAGTCTCAGCTAAGAGAGTAAGATGGAGTGTAATGAGAGCCCTGAAGGGGGTGCAAAGTGTCACAGCCCCTTAGAGCCCACTGCCCAGCACACAGCTGGTGAGAGCTATCAAAGCTATCAGTTACTAGCCCTTAGCGTGTGCTGGGCACTGAGCTAGGGAAGGTACGTGCATTATAACTTGCAGCCCATAGACACCCTGCTGAATGAAGTAATGACCGTACAAATGAATAAGCCAACTTTTGTCATCGACATCTTTCACTTGGAATACAGTCCCGTCAATAGAATATTTGGGTTAGATCAAAAACCCTCTGGGCACAAGCCTAGTCACGCACATAAGGAGACAGTTCAGGGCACATTAACCACCTACCTGTCTTTGCCACTCCCGTTCTTCAGGTTCACATCTGTGCCATTAGAAAGGAGGATTTTCACAAGCCTGAAGGAGACAAATTTGAATGTAACTAGACACGTAGTTTTGATGGGTAGAAACCCACAATAATGAACTAACGATAAGCAGCCCTACATTTAAGATCCATCTCCATACTTTCTTCTCTACCTGCCAAGCCCAGCTGGCTTCAAAAACAGGAAGTTATTAAACCAGAAAACTACCTCTTCAACACCAAAAAAATGGGGGGGGGGCAGAGGATGGGGTTTATCACTCATATGAATTATTCATTGAAAACAAACTATACCACAGGAAACACACTGTACTATCGTACTATTCTACTGTCACTTTAATGACTCTTTTAAATAGATTTTCAAATGGCAGCATTTAATAAAATATAGGTCTGTTTTTCAAAACGGCACTTAAGTGGTTAAATATAAATATGATTGAAAAATAAGCTATTCGTATTTATGCTTCTGTGTGGCATAGAGATAATGGGGTGTGTCAGTGAAAATTATATCTTAGCAACCTACCAGGGAAGTCTATTTTCCAGAATCAATTTCCCTTCCCCTTTAATTTTTTTCTAAAGAAATTCAAATTCCAATAACCGGTTTTCCTGGGACAGATAAAAAGTATCACAAAATACAATTAAGTGGCTACCTCTCTACCTCACCATGTGATTTATACATTTTTACATGATTTCCTGCATGTCATAGAGCTTCATGATTAAGACAGCTGAGGGGTGCCTGGGTGGCTCAGTCGGTTGAGCAACTGACCTCGGCTCAGGTCATGATCTCACGGTTCCTTCGTGAGTTCAAGCCCCGCATTGGACTCTCTGCTGTCAGCACAGAGCCTGTTTCATATGCTCTGTCTCCATCTCTCTCTCTCCACCCCTCCCCCACTCACTCCATCATACATTCTCGGTCTCTCTCTCTCTCTCAAAAATAAACATTAAAAAAAACCAAAAGACAGCTTAGTGTTTGTTCAGCCCTTACATGGTACAGTTTTGGAAAGAGAGAAGTAAGGCTCCCACACACTCGTTCCCTCCCCACCCAGGCTGTGACCGCAGCCTTCGGTGGGGGGGGGGGGGGTTCAACCACTCAGAGATCCGAAAGGAGGAGCCTCACCCGGTGTATCCTTTCTGGGCAGCGACCATCAGGGCGGTAAAGCCAAACTTATTGGGAACATCAACCTTAATATTTCTTGGGGAAAAACACAGAGAAGAGAGATTAACATGCTCGGCGTGGCTCCCTGGAGATTCACAGCTGATGTCGCCTGTGGGGTGGCACATGTGGCTACAATGATTCATTTTCCCAAGAATTCCAGTTTCTTCTGGGCCATTTTCTGTGGTCTTACACTGTCCTGCCTAATATTTTTAAAGGATTCAAATGCACGAGGAGAGAAAATTGTTGTAATTCCACTTAAACTAAGCCCTCCCTTCCACTCAGAACCATGATGCCGTCAGGTAGAAGACTCTGTGAAGAGTGCCACCCCCTCCTGTGGCAGGGGACCCGGTGTCTTTGGTGCAGGCGCTGCACGACCACGAGCCTAGACTGGGGGAGACCCGCATCCCCCCCCTCAATTCCCATCTCACCCAACGGACAAGAAACGCTGCCCTTGGAGGAAGAAAGCAGAGCTCTTAAATACCAGCTTAGGAGCCTGGGCTTTTTGTGGGACACTTCTCTTCCCCAAATTAAGAGCCCTACTCACAAATGACCTGTCTTCTAACGCACTCCGAATTACTGATATTCAAAAAGAATCTAAGTGACATTGTCCACTTTTCATTAGGAGGTGGCCTCAAATATTCCATCAGTAGCCACTGTATTTCCTACTTCAAGTGTTTTTACCCACCTTTTGAATAAAAAACGGCTGATTTAATGATTGCTCAATTTCATCAGGAATAAGATAAATATGGGCACTTTGGGGTGAAAGGTGCCTAAATGCTATGGCATAGGAGCCAGAGTCTCAAATTATTTCTGGAAAGAAAATAGGACACCCAGACTCCTAATCTTCATCTTCAATTTTCATTTGATATCTACCAAATAGAGGATTTACACGGTGCTTAAAGGTCATCTTTATTAACTATGCTGACTCACACCAGTCATCGGAGATCAATTTTGGAGCAATTTCAAAGGCATGGGAAGTTTGGGGGAAATTAGTGTGATTTTATGCACTTGCTGGGCATTAAAAAAATTTTTTAATGTTTAAGGCAGATTTCTCTCACCCTCCCTGAAGTATTCGAACCAGCAATTCTTCGTCATTCACATTGACAGCTCGATGAAAGTGCTCACTACTTATGGGCTCTCCTGAAGAACGAAGACGGAAAGCAGTCATCCAAAAGCAAATGAAAGAAGATTCATCCCGGCTGCATCGCCCCTCCTCCGGCGGCCTTGAGTGGATGCTCTTACGTTCATCCCCAAGAAGGCACTTGGCTATTCCGTTAAGTAGATCTTCTGTTTCCTATTGAACTTCTTTTACTGAAAAAGACCTTGTTTCCATAGATTAAGAACATTTAGATTGTCCTAAGGATTTGGGATATTCTCAAGAGTACTACTTTGTGAATGTTGTTTTTATATGTGAAAATAATCCTTTCAGATTGCATAAGACTTAATACATGCCTCTTATGAGCCAGGAAAAGCCCCACTATCGTCACAAAGTGGTTTTGTTTGCCAAAGAGTCACTACGCTACTTGAAGAAACAATTGCTTTGATATAGGGGTGCCTGGGTGGCTGTGTGGGTTAAGCGATCAACTTTTGGGTTTAGCTCAGGTCATGATCTCATTATTCGTGAGTTCAAGCCTCACGTGGGACTCAGTGCTGACAGAGCAGAGCCTGCTTGGGATTCTCTCTCTCCCCCTCTCTCTCTCTCTCTCTGCCCCTCCCATGCTCCCTTCTCTCTCTCTCTCTCTCTCTCAAAAATAAGTTTAAAAAATTAAATAAAACCTTTTCAAAATCTGCTTTAAATTGCTTGATATTTGAAATCCAAAATCTCAGTTCTTCCCAAGAATGTAATATTCAGGTTGACCTGGCTCCCTTCTGGGGGCAGGAAGGGCTCATTCGCAGAGGGGGGCCGCCGTGAGAAAGCCTGATTGGGGGGAGAGCCTGCCAAGTGGAGAAGAGTGAGGAGGAGGATTCTGCACAATACCCAAGGCACAACGGGAAGTGGGGCAGAAGGGAGGGCGTCCCTCTGTGCCGGAGACCAGTAACTCCCTCAAAGGGGAGAACAGGGCTGGAGTTTAGAAATCAGCAGAGAGGGAGAAAGAAGAACCAAGTGAGGGAAGCCCATCTTTCAAGGCATTTATTCCACAATTTGACTTGGTTCACATAGACGTCCTACCTGTGTGAACGCTTACGCTTAAATGAGACCCAAGGGGAGCACTCAGAACAGCACCTGGCACGTGGTTAGTAGCCAACACAGGTCTGTGGTTGAGGAGGTGGTAATGGTCATGGCAGCTGCCCGTAGGCGGCACGGCCCCACCCTGCTCTTCCGCCTATGCCCAACCCCCCACCACTTAGCACCCGACCCAGATGGGCACCCAGTGTATAATCCCCAGGTCCGGGCAGCTCAAAGGTCTCATCCGTTCATTCGACAAACGTGTATTGAGTAACTCACACGCCCAGTCTTGACCCTGAGGGTCCCAGATTGAACAGGACAAGCATGTTCCTCTCCTTTGTCACCTACATGGGAGCATCGGCTTCCAACCTATTAGTATCCTAAACCCTAAAAGAAAACACCCGCCTCCTGAACTGCACCCCAAACTGCTTCTTGGGGCCCACCCGCTACATCACTGCCCTCTTACAGTATCATCTCCAGAGGAGCCCTGGACATCACTGCCAGGTGGGCAGTAAACTCCCTGCCCCTGCTTCTTAGGTAGAAAATCTCTCTGGGACGTCAGATCCTCCTGGGCACTGGAGCCACTTTTCTACTGGTTTCCTTGGAGGATTTTAGCTGGGAAATTACACCCTGGGAAACCGGGGGACAGAAGAATGTAGGGATCACTATCAGAATAACCTTCTAGCTGATACCCTTTCTTCTGGTAAAAATAAAGTTAAGCCAAGTTAAAACCATTTTGAAATAACAATTTTGTCTGCTAGAGCTTGCCAATCTCCTAAGGGTTTTTTGTTTTTTTTTTTTTTTTTAGCCACATTGTACTTCCTTTTCATCATTCCACACATAGTTTTAGACCCAAAGCTTCAAATAAAAGGATCATGATAAACTGTCAAAGGACACTGCCCACCTCCATCTAAGGAAGAGCATAGCTAGCCTGGGGGGGTCCTCCTGGGGGCCAGGGAAGGGGGCAGGGTTTTGTACACCCTCCCCATGCCCCCAGAGGTCATTCGGTATAGCCTGGAGACATTTTGTTGTTGTCATATCTGTTGGGTAGAGGCCAGGAATGGCGATAAACATCCTACAGTGCACAGGGCGAGAACTATCCAGCCCCCAGATGTCAACAGTGCCAAGGTTGAGAAACTCTGGGCTAGATGAATGAACTCTGGGTGAATATGAACTTAAAATGATCTATGAGATGACCCAACCATACTTAAGTAGACAAACCCATGGAAAGTCCCTTCCTTCTTCAGATAGGAGGAGAAGAGCAGAATGGCGGTGGTATGTCTGTTATCTCGCCAAACATCTCCCCCTCCTGTGACTCTCAAACTTCAATTCCCACCGAAAATACAAAAACAAGTAATTTGCATAGAATCATCCAGAAGAACACAGGAAGCTCACCCTATTCCTGCTAAATTTTTAAATATGGCATCCTAACTCAAATCCTATGGATTAAGCTCTATCTAGGACTTTACAGAAAGCTTTCTAGATTCTTCTTCAGCACACAAAACTGAGAGCCAGGAAGGCTGAGTGAGTTGTGCAAGGTCCAGCAGGTAGGAGTGGGCAACATCAGAGCTCAAAACGAGTCTTCATAAGGCCACGCTCCTTCCTTGGGTAGGAGGTAGCGGGCCAGTTCATCACATACTTCCAATCATATTAAATGTTGAATATAAGCAGGCTTCTTAAGTAAACCAATACGATCCCCCCCACACACACACACAAAGTGTTCAATGAAAGGGACTGCTAAAGACCAAAAAGCTTCAGGAAAGCACTAACATCTTGAGACTTTAAAGAAAGTTCTAAAAGCACTTGCAGTATCTCAGTGTATTTCTGTACCAACCACCTCCAATCCATACGGTCCATCTTACGTGACCTGTACTGCTGTTTCGGGGGGTGGAGGGCACATCCTGGTGCATCCTACCCAGGAAGCCCTGCATCGTACAAATACTGGGAAACGAAAGAAGCTCATTTGGGGCTTAGAAGCTTGAGTACTTTGCATAGCAAACACTGGGGTATTTTGAGAGCAGGACATAATTTGAATGAATGTATTATATAGCCCGGCTTCTGCAAAAGGTACCCAGTGCTCTCGTAACTTTATCTGAAACAAAAGGGCATCTCACAGAAGAGAGGGAACATAGCATATTGTTAACCCTTCCTCGCTTGCTGAGTTTTGGCAAAAGGAAGCAAGAACTATCATTCTGGGCATAAACGCTCTTTCTCAGCATTAACTCATTAACCCATCTCAGAAAACTGCTTGGAAGGTAAAGAGGAGCTGCGGATTCACACCAGGCGTGGATCAACCAGGGAAGGGCACAGTCCCGGTTTCTGGGACTTTGACAGAGAAACAGAAATGAAAAGACTCCTGTCTGCAATGCACAGCAGCTCGCTCTCTCTCCCCCTGCAGACAGGAGACACACTGAAAAGAGAGGAAATTCCAGGGTGAGCCAAACATTCCACTCCTCCTACCCTGGAATCCTTTAAGACATTGTGGGCCTGGCCCAAGGGACTGCCGTCGGTTAAGTGCAACTGAATACAAAGATGGCAGGCTTGGCCCTCTGTGGGTTTGCTTAGCTGATGTTTCCCGAGTGCTGCAATGACAAGCACAGAACGGATGCTGCCTGTGGGGAGGATGCCGGGGAGCACTGGCCCGCGCTGCGTGGAGCTCCTCAGGCAGGACCGCGTCAGGGGACACCCGGAGGAAGGACAGAAAGCCAGCGCCCAGGTCTGTAAAAGGGTCATCGGGCCACACGTGTGCCAGAAGATATTATAATGGGGGAACCCCTTTCTTGGTGGGATTTAAGTCTCTCTTAGAAGCAGTGAATAAATGATGAGCTCATTGGAGGAGATCTTTGCCAATTAAAAAGCAGCAGCTGTTTTTCTCTTTTTAAGGGCCCGACTGATTAAAATCGCATGCCTCATTTAAGCAAGAGTCTCGTGTACTTTACCTGGAATTTAAAAAAAAAAAAAAAAAAAAGCTGAGCATCCTTTATTCAAACAATGTACGTGCTTTTGCAAGTCATTAAAACACTTTCAAACTAAATGCAAATGATCAACTGCAGAAGCATTTTCACTTGTTTTGGAGAATATTCACAGTTTTAATTCTTTGGTTAGCATGATCTGCCCTCCTTGAGGGAGTCTGCTGTGGGCATTATAAATATAATAACAGCATAAGGGGCCACAGGCGGAAGAGGGTACCCTGCCTGACCTTTGTGCCCTGACAGAGCCCCGAGGCTGCGTGTGGGCTGCGGCGCCGCACTATGACCTACCAGCGAAAGGCTCAGGAAGCCCCAGTACATCAGTCATCACCAGGAGCCACATCTCCATCGCTCCCAGGTCCCCGCAGGACGTCTGGTCTCATGACCCTTGGAAGCCAGGGACCGCAGTGACGGATGCCCAGGGCAGGGGACCAGCTCTCTGCGGCCGCCTCCCGGAAGCCGGCTCAGCAAGAAGGTGGCTCCATCCTCACCAGCTGACGGAAAGGGACTATGGCCTCTGCCCCTCCTAAAGGGCTCTGAGTGGTACACGAACACCCATCAACTCTGGCCAGAAGGTCCAGAAGCCCCTGCCCTGGCTCCGATGTGCCAGTGGCACCTGAGGCTCACGTGCGTCCTGCATCCTATCCAGCCTCACCTTGCAGGGTCACGTGCAGTCTCCCCAGCCAGCGGGAAACAAGCCCGTCTCCCAAGAGACAGGAGTGTGCACTGAGAAAAGTAGTGTTTCTCCTCATCCTAATTCTGCCTCTGGGCCTTTCCATCCACTATCTACCCACCCTTTTGTGGACTTCTACATGATAGATGAGAGTTCTAACATGCTAGATGGTCTTCTTTTTTCTTTTTTTTTTTTAACTTTTTTATTTATTAAGAGACAGAGAGATGGAGCATGAGCATGGGAGGGGCAGTGGAGGGAGATGCAAAATCTGAAGGAGGCTCCAGGCTCTGAGCTGTCAGCACAGAGCCCAATGGGGGGCTCAAACCCACAAACTGTGAGGTCATGAGCTGAGCCAAAATTGGATGCTTAAGGAACTAAGCCACCCAGGTGCCCCATAGATGGGCTTCTACATGCTAGATGACTGACATGTCACATTCTCCCTTCAAAAACACACAAGTCGGTAGGAGACCAAGAAGACGAAAAATACACAAAATAAGACGCAGAGTTATCAGAAGTGGTGAGACGAAGCTGTGTGCCAAGGGAGGCGCATAAGCACGTGGCAGCCGGGGGGGGCACGAGGCACCTCCCTGGCTCTCCCAGGGAGTGGGCTCAGCAGGCAGAGGGGCAGGGGGGGTGCTGGGACTGGGGGCTCCAAGGTGGGAACACTCCAGAGACGAGGGGCAAAGGCAGTGGGGTTTGGGGATGACCCGTGGGGTGGCTGGGGAGAGAAGACAGCGGGGACCGTCCTGGCCCAGCGTCCCCTGCAGAGACTCTGTTCAAGCAGTAGGCTCCCTTTGCTAACCTTCCTCCGGCCCCTGCTCCCCTTCTCAGCACCTGCCCTCAACACAGAAGAGCCCACGCTCTGTCGCTCTGCCTTCTTTCCCCCCTAAAATCTCCAGGAGCTCCCTACGCTCCAAATGAAGAAAAGGCTTTCATGGCCACCACGTCAGGGACAAGCCCTCTTCCCTGACCTACGTCTCTGTAACTGACCATTTCCCTTCCAAAGTCTCCTCTGAAATTATGTGTCTTCACGGCGAGCCGAGCGCCTTGGGGGATGTACATGACTCACAGCTGTCCCTAAACTCTCAGTTTGCCAAGCTGACACCCGACTCCCCGGCGCCTTGTTTGCAAGTGAAGATCTTACAGGCTACCTCAAGGTCATCTTTAATTCACACAAAAACTTCCACAAATAAATGCACAAAGGGGCACAACTCAAAGCCACAGGAGGAAAAAATGGTGTGTGTGTGTGTGTGTGTGTGTGTGTGTGTACACACACATGCATGCCAAATGTGATATTCACTAAAACTTTAAAGTAACTTTTACTAGGGGCACATAGAAGGGTCAGTCAGTTAAGCATCTGACTCTTGATTTCAGCTTAGGTCATGACCTTGCAGTTCGTGAGTTCAAGCCCCATAGCAGGCTCTGTGCTGACAGCATGGAGCCGGCTTGGGATTCTCTCTCTGCCCCTCCCCTGCTCATGCTCGCGCTTGCTCGCACACGAGCTGTCTCTCCCTTTCTAATAAATTTGAGCAACTCAAAAAAGATGTGTGTGTGTTTTCAGTGAGCAGGCCCTGAAGAACATTTCTGACCATTTTAATCTCTACCACACTCTGGATACAAACATTTTTAAAACATTTTCAAGTCTCAATCACAGAGGGGCGCCTGGGTGATTCAGTCGGTTAATCATCCAACTCTTGACTCCAGCTCAGGTCATGATTTCATGGTTTGTGAGTTCAAGCCCTGTGTGGGGCTCTGCACTAACAGCATGGAGCCTGCCTGAGATTCTCTCTCTCCCTCTCACTGTTTCCCTACCCTACTTGCTATCTCTCAAAATAAACTAATAATAATAATAATAATAAACTAATTAATAATAAAAAAGATTAGCGATCACAGAAAATATCTGCACCCTCAAATGTGACCCGGAGGAAGGACACACCGGTAAGAGGCAGCATGACCAGCCTCTCACCCCACCCGTGTGGAAGCCACATTGTTCAGTTTTCCTCACGGCATCCCCAGAAATCAGATTTGTGTGTGAGACGTATAACTGAAACTGTCCAAAAAGGGTCACACCACTTTGTAGACATCAGAACACCAGAAGACACCAGAACAGGCAGCCTGTATCTCAGCCCACACCCCTGCAGCCCATTTCCCAAGAAAGGGGACCCCATCCTTGTGTACTGAGTGTGCATTCACAGGGTGGTGCTGGCCCCAGAATGGCTCTCCCCATCTGTTAGAGCACACATAGACGTCCCCCTCACGCTGTGGTCAGACCCGGCCCATAAACAAGGTCATCATGGTGTTTAAAAGAGGAATGGTTTCCACTTCGAGGAAGGCCAGGCAACAGGCAGGATCTTTTGACCCCTCCATTGCTTGTTGAAGCAATCAATCAATCAATCAGTGAAGGCTGCTATTCAGATAAACGCGTTTAGTGTGTGTATACTCACTGGTTGTAGATACCGAGACCACTGGGCTATACTCATACTCTCCAGAGGGGCTGGTGACCTTCAGTCGAAATCTGTACAGGGTTCGTGGTTCCAGACCTTCCACAACATGCTTCGTTGCATATCCCCTGGATGAGAGGAGATACGGGGGACAATGACACCAGGTAATTGAATCGGCAAGCTCTGAGAGCTACTAAAAGAGCAGGTGAACGCGCTTTGTGAATGCGGTCTGCTTCCTCTATGACCCCATCTTGGTTGTGGTCAGTCTCCTTCAACAGACTGTGAGGGCCCTGAGTGCAAAGGACAAGTCACGTGTCCATCCTTCCCCACCCTGCCCAAATTGTGGAATCGGGAGCAAATGCAGGATTTTTTGCTTTAAACAAAACTACTAAGTTTGGGGGTGGTTTGTTACACAGCAAGGGATAACCAACACACATCAACAAAGAAGAAACAAAGACAATGAAGAAATGGTACCAACAGCATTAAGAAAAAAACATTTGGGGGCGCCTGGGTGGCTCAGTCGGTGGAGCATCTGACTTCAGCTCAGGTCATGATCTTGCAGTTCATGGGTTCGAGCCCCGCATCGGGCTCTGTGCTGACAGCTCAGAGCCTGGAGTCTGCTTCAGATTCTGTGCCTCCCTTGCTCTCTGTCCCGCCCCCTTGTACTCTCTGTCTCAAAAATAAACATTTAAAAAACATTTTTTAAAGAAAAAACATTTGAATTAAACCAAGAAAACAGAAGGGTTAAACGTTGATATAAATATATTTACCATAAAAGTGAAAGCTCTAAAACCAAGATAAATATTCAGAAAAACTGCATGGTCCAAAAAAATCATTATTGTCACCATCTAAAATCTATCAGGCTGGCACACGGTCTCAAGACTGAGAGGATTTTATCATTAGGTGAGCATACATCCAGATCTATAGATATGTGAATCATAGAAAATAAACCCTGATTTTTGGCATCTGAAAAGACCCTTAGGGGCTCAAATTGAATATACTATCCAAGATTCAGTGGAATTCAATGTCAAGGGTCAAAGACTTAGCATAGTTTTAGACCAAAACAAAACCAGAAGTGCCCCCAGTAAAATCCAATGTTGCTAAATGGCATAAGGTCACCCTGAAGCGAACAGCTCCCTCATAACCCCTGGAAAGAGAAATTACACAACTGTTCTGAAAGAAGACGTTACTGAGCACATTAATGGAAGGCTAGAAGCTCTCACTTTAATCGAGAGGACCCCGAGCAGGGCCCCCGACACACACAGGGGCCGGGGCCACCGTTGCTGGTTGTGGTTCTTCACAAGGATCGCAGCCCAGCCGTGGGGTGACTAACAGAGGCTGTGGGAGAAGCACAGCTTCCCACGGCCCCAGCACGGTACCTAAACAAACAAAACAATCTAGAAGAAAGCATAACACACGCCCGTATTTTTGTTATCAGTCAATAAGCAAATATTTGATGCAGCAGCTGAGCAAACATGGAACAGAAGGAACCAGATACCAAGGGCGCCTGGGCGGCTCGGTCGGTTAAACGTCCGACTCTTGATTTCGGCTCAGGTCATGATCTCACAGTTTGTGGGTTCAAGCCCCGCGTTGGGCTCTGCACGGAGCCTGGAGCTCGCTTGGGATTCTCTCTCCACCTCCCCTACTCATGCTGTCTCTTTCTCCGTCAAAATAAATAAATTTGGAAGGGAGGAAGGGAGGAGGAGAGAAAGCAAGAGAGAGAGAGAGAAAGCAAGAAAGAGGGAGAAAGAGAAAGAAAGAGAAAGAAAAGACTAAACACCTAAGGACTCCGTTGCCAGACTTGCCATTTCTCTCTATGCACCTCTCACTCCACCCCCCAGTTCCAATCCAGCCTCCTGCTGGGGACTCTGAAGTTCACTTCCATAGCCCTGACTCTCCCCCAGCCCAGTGCTCCCCAGCTGCTCCTCGACGTCTCCCCTGCACCTCCAGCCGGTGTCCCAACTGAGCTCTGCTCCTCCCCCAGGCTTCCCATCTTTGTTACTCGAGTCGTTCGGGCCCACACCCTCGGTGCCACCAGCAGAAGACAAGGATTATTGTCCCCAAGTATTTGAAGCCTTCCCAAGGGTTCTGTACCTCTGTCCTGTTGACCTCAGATGCCGCCATAGGATTGGATTTGGTTTGAGCAACGAAGTAGAAGCGGGACTGAAATGTGTCATTCTGGATGGAAGCTTCAAGAAAGCATGCCCTGCCCTCTGCCCACTGCCACAGTGACTGGCAACATGCAGGCAGAGGCTGCTCTGTCAGCCCAGGTGGATGTGGAAGACAGACACCGTGGAAGGGAGCCATGGGCAACCCAATGGAGATTCCGCGCGGGGACAGAAACCTTTGTCCTAAAGTGTGGAGGTTCTGAGGTTTAATGCCGCAGGGCTCTCCTGTCCGGGAGGTGCAGATACAGGTCTAGCCTCTTTGAAGCTCCTCCTTCCCTCACATGTTGTATCTGAGCCACGAGCAGTCTTCAAGTCTGTCTTCAAAACCATCCTAAATTCAACTTCTCCTCACACTCTGTTCTGTCATCTTCCACCTCAATTATTTGCAAAAGCACCTGCCTTCCTGAAGGCTGTTCTCACCTCAGCAGCCAGAGTGATGGTCAGAAAGCACCTGTCAGGCTGTGCCCTCTTCACATCAGTGGTCTCCACTGGCTTTCCCATCTCTTGGGGTAAAAGCCACGGCTCTGTCCAGCCCACAGAGCCTGGTGACTACCTCCCATCATCTCGCCAACCTCATGCCGTGTGGCCCTTCTCCTCACTCGCTCCGCTCCTCAGTGTTCCTGGAACTTACCAGGCACAGGTCCATCTCACTTGCTATTTCTTTTGCCTGGAGTGTTCTTTCAGATCCTCACAAGGCTCCAGAGATCCGTCCCCTCTTTACCCAGATGTTACCATCACAGGGAATCCTTTACCTCTGCTCCAAACCCCCAACTTTTCCTATGCTCTTTCTCCTTGCACTTATCACCATCTGACTCTGTATTTTCACTTATGTCTCTTATTGTTTTTCTCATCGTGAGGGACGAAATTGCGTCTGTTCATTCAGTGTGCATCCCCAGCGTCCAGAATGGTGTCTGGCACACAGGAGATACTCATTAATACGTGCTGATTAAATGAATGAAATGCATGGTCATTGTGAATGAATGGTTCATAAACGAAATGCACAGGTATCATAGGAATGTAGAGGGGTCGGCATATTCAAAGGACAGTAAACCGCGCTCACGGACGATTCATGCTCAGAAACAAGAGACAACAAGAAAAGCAGGTTGGCGGAGAACTGTGAGGGCATCCCACGCTCGTCTGAAGAGCTTAACCTTCCAGAAATGGGGACTCGCAGAAGGGAATTTGTAAAAAGGAAGATTAACAAGAAAGTTACCGAAGCAAGACAGAAGGGAAGGATAGAGGCCCGAAAAGGGGCAGGAGGCCAATCCCGTCAGCAAGTGCACTAGACGGTCCTAGGACCTGGAGAGACGGCCAGGAATGATCTAGAAGATGGAGCTGGCATCCTCGTCGGGGGAAATGCCACAGTGTCACCAAGGGAAGCAAAGGAGGCGTTTGCAAACGGAAAACTCACAAAACTGGGTACCTGGCTGTGAGGACAGCCCAAGCCAAAGAGGACACCAGGACCAGTGGCCGTGAACGGGAACAGAAACCGACAAGTCAGAAAGAAGTTCTTAAATCCATCATTCCGAGGTCAGATATTCTACACCGCGTTTTCAAAGTACGGCATTGCCAGGCTTAAGGATACCTAGAGAAAGTATAATGAAGCAGAAGAGATCACGATTAACACAGTCTAAGTCTGCCACCTAGTGTCAAGCTTTCACATCAATTCTCCCAGGGAAGGCAAGCATTTCAGGCGGCTCTTGGGGGTGGCGGGTGGAAGACCTCCCTGTGCACTCCGCGATGTCAGGACCATGGCCAGGTGAATCCCGCAGCCAGACAGCCCTCTGGGGAACAGACATCTCCGCCTAGAGGCCAGGGTGCATGGCTGCAGTCTCTCCAGGCGAGGTTCACTACCGGGCCACCCCGCAAAGGAGACAGACAAGTGGAGGCACATGCAGTAGAGCCCCACCTAAGGTGCCCAAGTGCAAGTGCAGCCAGCGTGTGTGAGGGAAATGGGGGAGGGGGGTAATCAGGTCTTTTCCCTTCTCCTTACAAATAACTTCTAATATCAGAATTCATGCTTTTAGGGTTGCCTGGGTGGCTCAGTCGGTTAAGCTAACTTCAGCTCAGGTCATGATCTCATGGTTGAGGAGTTAGAACCCCGTGTCGGGCACTGTGCTGGCACCTCAGAGCCTGGAGCCTGCTTTGGATTCTGTGTCTCCCTCTCTCTCTGACCCTCCACCACTCGCACTCTGTATGTATCTCTCTCAAAAATAAACATTAAAAAAAAATTCATGCTTTTAGATGGAAACTACCTAATAGAGAAGAACATACAACATGACATAATTCAAATAACATTTTCAAGTAGTCAGGCAAGGAATTACTTTCAGATTAACTGCATTTCAGATAAATGTGTTTAGGGTTTGTTTTGGGGGATTTTTTTGGTTGGTTCTGGAGGGGAGGCTTTATTTTTGTTTTTGTTTTAGATACAAAGAATTATTCATTAAATCTCAGGGCCATCATCCCTCAGGGAACAGTGGAAGGCTCTGTGAATACCCTCACACGATCACAATGCCACCTCGAGGAAAGGCTAGCGACACGCTGGAGCAATTCTGTCCCTCGACCAGGCCCATGCCAGCATCCGGGCTGTGAGCCAGCACTGCGGTTTCCCATAACGTTAGAACTGGGGGAAATGGGCAGAAACAGGCAAAAGCTTCACAAGATCTTTCTGTATTATTGCTTACAACCAGATACGAAATCTACAATGATCTCAAAATTAATTTCAGTTCAGACCTTATTTGTATCTCATGTTTGGTATACCTAAAACAGTCATTTTGCAAATGGCAAAGCTGTCAAAGGGAAGAAGTAAGAGTTGAAATGCAGAGTAAGAAAAAAAGAACTTGATTGCCCCGAGTGATGCTCATTTATTAATTCGTGTGACAAATGCTTAGAGTGCCCACTGTGTGTCAAGGCTCCAGTGCCTGGAAGCTGGGGACAGGGTATTAGGCAGACAGAAGTCTTTCCAGCCTCTTGTGCAGTTTCAATGCTGGTGGGGAGACGAAGTGGACATGCCAGTGGGACAAAGGCAGCAGAGCCAAATGTCATGAGACACAGGAGCTAAAGTCCTGACAGAGGGGATGCCTGGGCGAAAGGGGCGCCACTTCGGATGACCTTGGTGGAAGGGACATTTGACCTGATGTTTGTGTAGTGTGAAGAAATCAGCTGTATGAAAACAGAAGGAAACGCCTTCAAAGAAAGGTTAACGAGCAAGGCCCTGACCTGAGAATGAACATGGCCTGGAAAGAGCTAGCAAAGCACAGCTGTGGGACCGGAGGTCCTAAGACATTCCAGGGTAGACCTGGGGGCCCAGCCCCCATCTCCAAACACAACAGCCTGACGGAACCTCCCCTAATCTCAGATTCTCTTGATTCTGTCTCCACATTTCAGAGGTTTAAAATATACCATTAGAATATTACACAAGCCGAAGAAGCTCTCAAAGGTATAGGTTTAATTTCAAAGTTACTGCTAATGCAGATCTTCCAAAAAATTGTAATTCACAAAAAAGTGTGTATGCAGATAGTGCTGATTCATTCTTTTCTTTCATTTCAAAACAAGTCCTTTTAAAATAGGAGTAGAATCAAGCCTGTCCTTTTTTTAAAATTAACTTTTATTTTTTCTTTGAGAAAGTGAGCATGCGCAAGCAGGGGAGGGGCAGAGAGAAGGAGACAAAGGATCCAAAACAGACTCTGTGCTGACAGCAGAGAACCTGACACGGGGCTCGAATTCACGAACCGTGAGATCATGACCTGAGCTGAAGTCAGACGCCTAGCCAACGGAGCCACCCAGGCTCCAAATGAGGCCTTTTAGAAAAATGACAGAAACCATTCCAGCACATCAGGAAATCACGGCAAATGTTAAGCAATTCAACACTGCACCTACGTATAAATGATACCGTAAGTGTGCATTTTGGGGTCTTCTTCCTCAATCGAGAACCTGAACCACTGCTCTTGAGGTCCCTGCCGTTTTGCTTTGTTTTCTGGATCCCAGTATAATTCGATGCTGTGATGAGTCACTCTGCCCACAACAGGTGGGTGAGGCTTTGAGGAAGTGATTTCTAAAAAAAGAAGGACACAGAATTTCAGGACTCCATTTCTGGGAGGACCAGAGGTCCATTGAGTGCATTATAGCCACTCAGAGATCAGACTGTTTTCCTACGCATCAGGCACATGTGTAAGGAACCCTCCCACACCCCGTACCGCCCCCCGCACCCCCCAACCCTTCCGCCACTGCTTGAAGAACATCTGAAAAGCAAGTGAAAAAATTCAGGTGATGTCAGTGAGCTACCCCACACTTGAACGAGTAGATCGCACCATACCCATCAACACCATATGTCATTTATGGACCTTTCCAAAATAATGGTTAACATCCCAGACTAGTTAGGTTGCTTTTAAGCTAATGAAACTCCATATGCTGCTATAATCCTTCAGTGAAACGGCTGGTAAACAGAGCCAACAGAAAAATATACCTGGTCCAAATATATGTACACAGATGGCAAAGGGCTGGGATCTATTCTGTACGAACAGCTCTTACAGACTAATCAAGGGGGAAACCCAATGGCTAAGAACTAACCAGGTAAAAGATGAGCAGTGCACAAAAAATGTCAGACAAACAGCATCATGTCCAGACATTCATATTCCCTACCGGCCACAGAAATTGAGGACAATGGTGTATAACTTTGTATTGAGTCAGACACCCAAGAAGCGATATCAAAACCACTGGAGGTGATGGTGCAGGGAGGGGACACTCTCATACACTGGTGGTCAGGAAATATGAATTCCAGTCTTTTTAGGAAGCAATATGGCAGCATGTATTAAAACTTAAAAGCTATATAAGGCTTCTCTCCAGCCATCCCATGCCTGTAGAAATCAGAGCACAGAGGGATACCTATTCAAGGACAAAAAGTGCTACATACAGCTGTCAGCAATTTATGGTGGGGGAGGAGGGAGGGAGGGAGAGGAGCCATTAGTAAGGGAACAGTCAAATAAACGACGTGCATGTCCACAGCATGGAACGTTATGTGGCCTTTCCAAAAGGAGTTAGTTCTATGCTAGATGACTTGAAAGGATTTCCAGAAGGTATTACTGAACGAGAAGTCAAGGGCAGAGAAAACTACAGACTATCCCCTCACTAAGAAAGCGGACAAGGGGCTCAGCACCTACAAGGCTGGTCAGCATTCGGTCGTTGTGTTTCATGTTAGTTTCACGCACTCAGGGAGATTTTCAAGTTCTCTGGGGGTAGGGTCCACGTCTTACACTTCTAAAACCTCTCCCTATCCTCCAGGACCTTTCCGGCCTCAAAAGTAACACTGATTTAGTACACTTGTTATTCAGTAAGAAAGGGTCTTGTGCTTCCCTTAAGCGGGGCCTCAGGTGGCTGACCCCTCCGCAGCCCCGGGGTGTCTCCTGCAGCGTGGCCCTCCTTGAGGAAGGCACGGCTGCCCTGGTCCAGGCCAGGACGACAACCACCACTGTCCCTTACTCCCCCAAGATACACTAGGGGGCAGCCTGCAAGCTCAGTTTTCTCAGCTTCATTTTCCTAATATTTATCCAAAGCATGGCATGGTGGGATTGGATCAACCTGGCTTCAAATTCATGCTCTGCAATGGTCAAATATACCCAATGTGTTCTGTGATAACTAAATAACATAGTAAGTAGCTAAACAGGGGTGCCTGGGGGGCTCAGTCAGTTAAGCGTCCAACTATGGCTCAGGTCATGATCTCACGGTTCGGGAGTTCGAACCCCACATCGGGCTCGCTGGTGTCAGTGCAGAGCCCACTTCAGAGCCTCTGTTCCCCCTTCCTCTTCCCCTCCCCCATTTGCTCTCTCTCAAAAATAGACATTTTTTAAAAGAGAAATGGCTACATAAATTACGGTGTACTTCATACAATGAAATCCTACACAGCACCTAAAAGGAGCTAATTCTACATGTGACACACATAAATCTCAGTGAGTGGAAAACACACATTTAAAGGATATACTACATTCTACCGCTTAGGTAAGTGTTTAGAACACAACACTAGATATTATTTATGAATACACACATATGCATGAGAGTTAAATACATGGATGAGAAGAAAGCATACCACCCGGGTAGAGTTATCTCTAAGCTGGGAAAGGGACAGAGATGTAATGGGGAGGGACACTTACCTCTCTATTTGTGGGGTTTCAGTTCTTTAAGAATTTAAGACACATTTGGCAAAAACTTGCATTTTAAACCAGTATGGCATATGGGAGTGTACAATTTTCAATGAGCTGGGAATATTTCAAATATTAAGAGTTATAAAAACGGTAAACCATAATCTTACAGGGTTCTTGGTTTTCTTAGAGAAACCTATATCAGTGTCCTACATGCTGGCTAATATTTGGGTGGAAAGGAGCACATACGCATCCTCCACCTCCCAGCCACCAGCCCTTTGGTAATAGGATCTCATTTAATCCCAGCAATGCCACCTGGCATATCCTGAAGACTCACACCTGATATTAAGACACCACTGTTGAGCAACTCTTTTTTTTCTTTCCAGAACCCTCTAAAACCATCCAAAGACCAGGACTGATAGACTGGTATAGAGAACCCCCAACATAAGTAGAAGCCAAATAATACTTCTACTCCAAAGATGCTTGGCTTAGAATCCCAGTAAACATCAAGATAGGCAAGGAACTAAATTAATGCCAGAGTTTGAAATGGAAAACTCAAATGGCTCACCATGAATTGTGATAGGAAGAATAAAAAGATAATAATCCCAGTTATGCCAGCATTTCTCACATGTTGCTCTTACGAATCAATGACACAGGCAAATAACCAGAGACCTCTGTCTGTGAGCTTAGTGCTGGCCTCAGATGGTCCTACCTCTATCCCTGAACTTGGCCCCAGTGCCGCCAGACCTGGTAACAGGCCCCCATCCAGCTGCAGCCTCAGCATGGGCAGGACCCTCCCCCCTTTCACCCACCCTCCCCTCCATCTGGCGAACCAGGAAAGGTGTAGCGTTTGGGAAAGTTGATTTGCTAACCACCCCACTGCCCTGCCCCGTTTTTTTTTTTTTTTTTCTTTTTAAGGAGTGATCAGACTTCACTGCCCACATACAAATGCACAGCCGCGGTAGTGGCCACTGGCTATCATGGAGACACGAGTTTGCACCGCGATTGTTCCCCAGAACACGTAACATTTGTGCACTGACCCATCAGGATATTCTAAGTCTTCTTTACTTAACAGCAAAACTTTCCACGATGCAAATCTCAGCCTGAGTAAGAGACGCTTTGGGTAGAAAGCGATGAATGCCAAACAGAACTCGGATGCTCAAGACACGAATGAGTGTTCTCAGCAGAGAAGACCCGAGGATTTTCAGGCAACCAAAAATAAACGGTGGATGAGACCAAACCCACTTTGGTTTTTGAACAACCTACAGTCATTTGACAAGCGTGTTTTAATCCCCACAACACTATATATACTATATATGCATATTACGACATTATACATACTATATACATATATTACATTATACTATCATGTTAATATATACACTTATGTATTTATACATACATGTTAACATACATACATAATTTGTATTTTCTGATTGATAAAAATTCTGGTATTTTTGTCACAACCCGCTAATATACATACTTTACAATGTTGGCTTTAGGATCCTAAAAGACGTATGTGAACATGTCACTAGCCCAAGTGCAAACATCAGCATGCAGCGGGAACAGAGGCCTGGGTCAACACTGAGCCTCTGTGCAAAGGGACAGAAATGGCAAATGACGGACCTACTGGCTGGGAGAAGAACGGCAAAAATTATGCAGCACTCATTCTGTGGCAGGCACTCTCGTAGACGCTTTCCACTGATCTGTCCAACCTTCGCTACAACTACATATGGTACAAGGATTTTTTTATTCCCATTATAAAGTATCCGAGACACAGAGAGGTTAACGAACTTGCCCGACGTCACACAGTAGTAACTGCCAGAACCAGGCAGTCTGGCTCAGGAGTCCCTAACCTTTTTTATTTTTTTTTATTTTTATTTTTTTTAAGTTTCTTATTTACTCGGAGAGACAGAGAGAGTACAAGTGGGGGAGGGGCAGAGAGAGAAAGAATCCCAAGCAGGATTGGTGCTGTCGGTGCAGAGCCTGATGCAAGGCTTGAACTCACAAATGTTGAGGTCATGACCTGAGCCAAAATCAAGAGGCTGCTTAATTGACTGAGCCACCCAGGTGTCCCAGGAGTCCCTAACTTTTAACCCTATATGGTATGCCTCCTAAGAGCAGAGACATAAAGTATAGAGCTGGGTGAATAATCTATTAGTTAGAGCTACAGATTTCTTCAAACCATTCTTTCATTTTTATTTTAACTCCAGGGTAATTAACATAAAGTATTCTATTAGTTTCAGGTGAATGGTGTAATGGCTCAACAATTCCAGAGATTACTTGGTGCTCATCAAGAGAAGCATGCTCTCCACCCCCTTCCCCTCTGATAACCACCATCTTGTTCTTTCTAGTTAAGAGTTTATTTTGGGGGCGCCTGGGTAGCTCAGTCAGTTAGCTTCTGACTCAAGTTCAAGCCCCGCATTGGGCTCCGTGCTGACAGTGCACAGCCTGCTCGGGATTCTCTCTCTGCCCCTCTATCTCTATCTCAAAATAAATTAACTTTTTTTTTTTTTAAAGTGTTTTTTGGTCAAATCATTCTTTTTAAATAAGGTTTAACTTGGGAACCAACTGGAACCCCCAGGAAATTTAAAAATGAGCATGAAAAGTTGACAACAAAAGGGGAGACGCTCATTGTTTAAATGAAGTGCAGGGAGGCTGCACGTGGGAGAGAGAAGTGAGGCCAAGTCCCTCAGCAGCGGGGTCAGGAACTCGGTCCACGAGGAAGAACATGGTCTGAGGAGAGAGCACAGGACCAGAACTGGGGACCAAGGAGACACAGAGGTTTGACTGCTGTCCACCTGGACGTGTGGGAAGGAAGCCAGCCAGGTGCCTCTTCACGTCCAGCATGAAATGTGGGGTTGGGGCAGTAACAGGTGCAGAGAAAGTTCTAGAACGTGGGTTACATAATGAGTGAGAA